GAAACATTAGGTCTAGTTCTTGGAATAGTGGCTGTTGACCTCAGCTGTGACCACAGGAACCCCAGCCAGAATCTGAGGCAGATGCTGGCCACAGTGATGGCTACAGAGAGGTTCCAGCCATGTAGGTCTCCTTGCTGATCCTGGGCATCTGTCACCCAAGGCAGCCAGTGATTATTTCCACAGTTTTGTGACCCTTGGCTATCATCCCAATAACAAATAAGTCATAAGCTACCCTCTTCCCCTTTGTAAAATTCCACTGTGCAATGTGGCTTCTCTACCAAGAACTTAGTGAGGACAGGGACCAATGCCTCCAAAGCTTTGTGTGTAATCAGCTTATTTCTTCTTCCCTCCTACTTTCCTTTAGTGACTTGAGTGAGAGGCAGGAGACAGTCAAGGGACAGTAGCTGAAACAGATGTTAATTTTGCTTAGTCTCTTCTGGGGATAGGTAGCTTAAAGCCAAGGACTGCTCTTTTCTGTATTACTTCAAGGGTATCAGACCTTTTGACATTGTAACAAAATATCATTTGCAAATGTGTTGGACCACATTCATAAGTGTATGGGAACACATGAGGCCAGCAGGCCACAGGTTGGACTTACCTGGCTTACAGCATGTGTAGCTATATGAATATTTAAGTGATGTTAATAAATAGAGAATAACCACTTTCTGTGATGTTGTATTAGGAAGATATTGACATAAAAGTAGATGAAAAGTATGGTTGCATAACTAATCAAAATAATCATGTCAAGCAATAATCATGTCAGACATACACAGGCATATTAGTCATAGTACCCAGGTCAAGATTGGAGTCAGCTTTCAAACCAGAAGGGAAGTCTCTGTTGACCCATGGAGTCACAGTAAAGGCAGATTCAGAGTAGTGCTTAGGGTTAGACCAGACCTCCAGGAAGTCAGAGCACATGCTACTGGAGCACAGGCAGAGCATGACTGTCCAGCCCAGCACAGGAGCTGAACAGCCTCTACTTTGGTATTGTGTTTTCATTCTAGAGTATTGGTTTGTTTTGAGTCAGAGTCTTAATGTGTGGTCTAGAATAGTTTCCAGTTCTTAAATCTTCTCTCTTAGCCTTCCAGTCACTGGAAGTTTACTCATGTACCACCATATCTGGTCTTCTCCCTTGCTTTTAAAAAAGTCTTTATTTGGGTTAAATTAGAGATTTGTCTCTAATTTCTAGTCAAGTCTGCTTCTTTAGACGTGAGTGACTAGTGCCAAAGCAGTTACAGGTTTTCTTCTATTAGCAGTGGTCAGCATGCACTGTAAGCTTGACCTGCCATGGGAAAACACAAAGTATGAGGCAAAACAAAGGGCTGAGGGACAGTTGTAGTCCTTGTTGCCAGAATGCGGTCTAGTTGTGGAAACATGGCTTAAACATGTAAATAGTATAAAAGAGAAACAACTTGCCAAGTGTGCAGGCACACAGTTGTGATCCTAGTACTGGGGAGATGGAGGCAGGAAGATCAGAAAATCAAAGACATCCTTGCCTGCATAGTGAGTTTGAGGCCAGCCTGAAATACATGGGACCTTGTCTCAAAAGCTCAGGCCTGGGGCTCTAAACTGCATGGTCTTTAGATGAGTTGAGAGAAACAATGACTTCATGGCAGAAGGCAAAAAGTACAGGGTAGTGAATGAAGCAAGTGCAGGAGGCATTCTAGTCCAGGAAGAGGGGTGGGGCCAGTCTAGAGTTGAGACTTCTAGAAAATCAATGGCTGAAGAGAAGCTAGATGATTGACTGGGAATCAAGACGTGTGTCAACTCTTCAGCTTTATCTTCTGGGCACCAAGGAGTCACCAGAAGCTTTTGGACAGAGGAGCAATGCTCAGAGGTTTATGTAGTAAGACAAATCTACTGGCCAGATACAGGCATGTTAATGATCATCCCAGTGGCCAGGTTCCTGTATTTACTTTTGGAAAGTAATAAGGATTTCAGCTATGGGAGTGGCAAAAAGAACAGAAATTAAAGAGTTGGAAATGAAACATTTTACCTTATATAGTTATTTAAATACTTTTAATTTTAAAAAGACATTTTAAAGGAAGGAGAAATCAGTCAAGACTGAGTATCTTTTGCTTGTTGAGGTAGTGAAGACTTATCAAGGTAAATACAGTTTGGGAACCAAGCAACTGGATAAATACTTTTTCAACAGAATGGAAATGTTAGAACGGAGCATTAGATGGCCATGTTTTAGGGGAAAGACAAGGAGTTCAGCTTTTGAAGATCATTTTTGATGTAGTAGGAGACAGAAATAATATTACTGGAACATTCAAGTGGGAACTTGGCTCATGATAAGCACGTGGGAGTTGCCTGCATAGAGATGACTGCTTCAACTGTCTGAATGAATGATGCTTTCCAGAGGAAACAGAATACCGAGAGGACCAGCATTATTTTAAAGGAGGAAGAAGAGGGGTGTAATTAGCCATTGGAGGAGGAAGGCAGTTACAGACTCACATTAGAGCAGATAAGAACATCAAGAAGGATGTGCTGGTCAGCAGTGTCAGATGTTGCGGAGAGGTTAAGGAGAATAGGGGCTGAAAGACACATTGGATTAGGCAAGTAGGAAGTTATTTCCCTTAAGAACACAGGTCTATGATATTTGAATATGTTGGAGAAGGATTAAATGTGAGCATTGAAGAGAAGAGCACACAAAGCATAATTTACAGGTAAGAAGGAAGGAGTTAAGAGGGGGCTACGACTGCTACTCTTCCTGCATTGTAAGTTGGAAGCTTGTGCATGCACACACACTTGAAGGCAGAGGGAGAGGTTAGGTCAGTGATACATTTGGATAACCTTGTTCAGTACCAGCTAGAGACTTTGGCCCAATAAACAGAGATAATCAATAGCTTCAAGGGGAAAAGAAGTGGCAGGAGCAGGATTCTATAGAAACATGGGAGACTGTGGATTAGGGGACTAGCAGAATGTGAGCCTGACCTCAGGATTCTGGGCAAGATAGGTAGGGATCCACTGAAGAGAGGGAGGATTGGGGGACAAATGATGGCGTTAAAAGGGAGGTGTTCTGTAGACACTCTAGACAATGTTGGGGGTCAGAGAGCAGCTGCTAGATGTGTATCAGTAAAGCTTGGCAGTCTCTTCACCTTCTAAGTGCTATTGTAAGAAGTGGCGATGGAGCTGGGGAGGTGCTCATTCAGTATGACGTAAGCATGAAGACCCGAGCTCCATCCTTAGCATCACTACAAAGCCAGGCGTCTGTAACCCAAACACTGGGGACGTGGAAACAGGAAGATCTGGGACTTGCTAGTCAGTCAGTCTTGCTGAATTGGTGAGCCGCAGGTTCAGCAGAGAGACCTTTTCTCTGAAACTTTGGCAACTGAAACCTGTTATCAACCTCTGGCCTCTGTACACTTAGTGCATGCACACTCAGACATGTATATACATGAACACACACACACACACAAAATGGTTATCAGAGGCAGCTTAGAAGGTAATTGGTATTTGTTTCATCTTGTACCTTTAAGGGGTTTTCCTTTCTTGTCACTGTAGTGTTTTTTTCCTTAGTCTGTATATCACATTTTAAAAGTTTCCAGTATCACCATAATTATAAGTTGTACAGCTACTTCAGAAAGGTCTTAAGTAGTTTTAAGATTATCTGAGTTGCAAGTATGAAGTCATAGTTCTTTCTCTCTCAGCTTCCATTATGCGAGTGTGATACAGACTTTAGGTTGCCATCTGGGCCTCCTTTAATTACCTTCCATCTTACTTGTTTTTGAGATGAGGTCTCTCAGTGAGTCTAGAGCTCACCAATTAGGCTAGACTGGCTGACCAATAAACCCCAAGAATCCAACCATCTCTGCCTCCTCAGAGCTGGGTGCACAAAGCCATGTCCAATTCTTCCCTCCCCCATCTGCATATGTGGCTGCTGGAAATCATGTTTAGTCTCTTATGCTTGCATGGTGAACAGTTTACCCAACAAAGCTATCTCCTCAGCACCTAAAATCTCAGGGTTTTTAAAAGAAATTTATTACTGCTTGTATTGACAAAACAAGTGAGCTAGGAAACCACAAATAGTGTTACTGGGCCCTTTCTGAAAAGGGATACATGTTTTAAGCCAGCCAAACACCAAATAATCTATCAACTCAGCCTTATAGAATTCAAGATGACAAAGATACCAGATGATATGTAGTATGTCTCATTCAGAACACAGAAGATCTGAGAGGTCCCTGTGATAGGGCTTGTGCAAGAGCATGCTTCTTAAGAGTAGTGAACCTGGTTATAGCCATCTGTTGACAAGTCTAAGCTGACTACATGGAGGTGCTAAGTATGTAACACTTACCTGGGATACTTGATATAATCTTCAGATTTAGTAAGATGCAACCTGAAATGGAGAATCGGTTTCTGTTACAAGTATAATTACAAGAAATAAATGATGAACTAAGTCCTGCTTCTGTATCTGATTCTTGACTATTCTTGACTCTGTTTTAGGAGTCTTTTATCCTCCTAAAGCTGGTAGATCTAATGGCAGAATATGGGAACCATAGGTCTCACAAACAAGGGGACTTGAATGTGCTTCTGGGTGGAATCGATTTGTTTTTTCAAGCTGCTGAATTTTTAAATCATCATGCATGTATCTGTGTGCATGTGCATGTGCACATGTAGACCAAGAACTGTATGGAGGCCAGAGGACAAGTCTAGGTTCTTACCTTCTACCATGCTTGAGAGATGGCCTCTTGCTGTTCACTGCTGCATCCGCCAGGCTAGCTAGCCCATGATCTGGAAATTTTCCTGTCTCTGTCACCTATCTTGCTATGGGAGCTTTGAGATTACAGTTGCACGTGGCTGTGCCCAATTTACGTGGGTTCTAGGGGTCTGAACTCAAATGTTTACACTTCGGCAGAAGTGCTTTACTTACTGATCCATCTCCCCAGTCCTCAAGCTTCTTTCCAAGTAGAAGAACAATCTGAGCCTAAATGAATCGATTCAGTTTATTATTGAAGGAGTAACTCAAGAATTTATCTTTCCTTTTTCTTCCCTTCTAGGTATGGCCTCACATGTGCAAGTTTTCTCCCCTCACACCCTTCAATCAAGTGCCTTCTGTAGTGTGAAGAAACTAAAAGTAGAGCCAAGTTCCAACTGGGACATGACTGGGTACGGCTCCCACAGCAAAGTGTACAGCCAGAGCAAGAACATACCACCTTCTCAGCCAGCCTCCACAACCGTCAGCACCTCCTTGCCGATCCCAAACCCAAGCCTACCTTACGAGCAGACCATCATCTTCCCAGGAAGTACTGGACACATAGTTGTAACATCAGCAAGTAGCACTTCTGTCACCGGGCAAGTCCTCGGTGGACCACATAACCTAATGCGTCGAAGCACTGTGAGCCTCCTTGACACCTACCAAAAATGTGGACTCAAGCGCAAGAGTGAGGAGATTGAGAACACAAGCAGCGTGCAGATCATCGAAGAGCATCCACCCATGATTCAGAATAATGCCAGCGGGGCCACTGTAGCCACTGCCACCACATCCACTGCCACCTCCAAAAACAGTGGCTCCAACAGTGAAGGGGACTACCAGCTGGTGCAGCATGAAGTGCTGTGTTCCATGACCAACACCTATGAGGTTTTAGAGTTCTTGGGGCGAGGGACATTTGGGCAAGTGGTCAAGTGCTGGAAACGGGGCACCAATGAAATTGTGGCCATTAAGATCCTAAAGAACCACCCCTCCTATGCCCGACAAGGCCAGATTGAAGTGAGCATCCTGGCCCGGCTGAGCACTGAGAGTGCTGATGACTACAATTTTGTGCGGGCCTATGAGTGCTTCCAGCACAAGAACCACACATGCTTAGTCTTTGAGATGTTGGAGCAGAACCTCTATGACTTTCTGAAACAGAACAAGTTTAGTCCCTTGCCCCTCAAGTATATTCGCCCAGTCCTCCAGCAGGTAGCCACAGCCCTGATGAAACTCAAAAGCCTGGGTCTTATCCATGCTGACCTCAAACCAGAAAACATCATGCTGGTGGATCCATCCAGACAACCATACCGAGTGAAGGTCATTGACTTTGGTTCAGCTAGTCATGTATCCAAAGCTGTCTGCTCTACATACTTGCAATCTAGATACTACAGGTAAGACATTTTCTGTGGAGATAGTCAGGATGCAGGAGGTCCAGTGGCATCCACAGGGAGTGTGTAGAGAGAATCTCCATGGTGGGGATAATGATAGTGGTGATAGCAGACAGAGACTTTAATCTGAGGGCTGGAGACATGGCCCAATGGTTAAGAGCACTCTTGCTGCTCTTATAGAGGGCTTCAGTGTGCTTCCCAGCACCCGCATGGCAGCTCACAGCTGTGAGTAAATCTAGTTCCAGGGGATCCATCCCTCTCTTATGGCATCTGTACACCCGTGTGGTATATGTACATACATTCAGACAAACATGAAAATAAAACTTTCTAAAAACAAAAAGAAACTTTAATGAAAACTTAGAACACATGCAGGCAGGAGTGACAGTGAGAAGCTATGTAGGAAGGCATCTGAATAACATTCTTGGTCTGGACATTGAGAATTGGGAAGGATTTTGGGGAGCTGGGTAAAGAGCAAACTGGAGAAGTCAGGTCCTTCTGGATGGAGAGGATGCAGACAGCTAGAACAGGAAGGGGTGTGCCAATAACAGGCAAAGGACACAAAATGCAAGGCTCATTCAGGAGATCAGGATGACCTATCTGGCCAGATCAGAAGATCTGTGAATAGTACCTGGAACAAGTCCTGGAAACTTTGAACAAGCAGGGGTTGATGGGGGAGGGTGTAATAGGTTGATAGCAGTTTTCTTAAAAGACTACCATTATAGTCATGTGGAAGATGCTGGAGGAAGGGAAGCTCTTTGCCCTGGGGCCACTTGCTTCTTCCTGTGATAAGTTTATAATAGGAAACATTAACTATTCCTATCCCCCCCCCTTTAATTGTAAGGAAATATCCAAGGCAGGATAATTTTGTGAAGAAAAGAGGTTTATTGTTCAAGGTCATGTTGCTCTCCTCAGCCTTATGGTAGATGGCCCCACAGTGGTGGGAACATGCCCAGGAATAGACATCACATAGCTAGAGAGGAAGACATATAATGGTTCAAGATTTGATTCATGCTTTTAAGTCAACTTTTATTTGAAGAGAACTAACTCAGGGATTTCTAACCTTAATTCCTTCCAAGGAGAGCACTGTTAATGAACTTCCACAAGGCCTTACCATCTCTCCACATCACTACACTGAGGACCAGTCTTTGAATTGATAACCTTATGGAGTCAAAACACTTCTACACTCTAGCAAGAGAGCTTACACATTCAAATATCACACAAGTGTTTATCTCATTTCTATTATGGGCCTTGCACAAAAATACTAGCTAGCTCCAAGGATATAAACAAAATCCTGGCCATCCCAGAGTTTCCAGAGTGCTGCAGGCTTTGGCATTAGTAAAATCCAGAACTGAACAGATCCCTAAACTCACTAGGCTGTGTGATTTGTGCTGACTGCCTAACTTCTGTATACTCTCATTTCCTGATGTATGAGCTGGAAGCTGGAGTTTTTATACCAGTTCCAGGGTGCTGTTGTACCATGCTGTGATACAATCTAGTGCTATGTGCAGTGGCCAGCCTGTGGGAGACACAGCGTCAGGAGGTGGTGGAGTAATGGCACAGAGCTGTGTTGGAAGTAATAGTGACCAGTCCCACAGAGCTGGAAATTGAAACTCAAAACTCCCATGAGAAAGTAGGCTGATCCATCTGACTCCACGGGTCTAGTCTCAAGGCTTCTCCATTCTTGTTCCGAAGGATTCCTGAGCTGTAGGAGCTCTTCCCTAGCTCTGGAATCTGATGTGGGAAAGTGATGGCTTTCTCTGAGCATTTAGGTATACATACTGCCCTCTGTTTTTGAGGAGTTCTCACATACTTCTTTATACTCATGAGGATACATCTATCTCTGCTGGCTCTCTTTCCTCAGTTTAGCTTGGAGGGGAGCCATGTGCCCATTGATGTAGCCATCCAGGAAGGTGGAGCCTGGACAATGGAGAACTGTACCCCCTCCTTGAGGTAAAGAGGGAGAATATGACAACTCATATTCTCTGGAGAGTGCCTGGAACTTCCTTGAAAGACAACTCGGTTTGGTTCATCATAAGGAAACAGCTTGCCCCAGAGGTGGTTGTTGCTGGGGCTTGCTCTCTGCAAAATGGAGGCTTTGCTGTCATTTTATATTTAGACTTAAAAATTCAGGATGCCAGTGGCTATTTCTTGCCAGTTCTCGGCCTGAATTTAGGACAAACTGTGCCAAGCTAAGGGCTGTGCAAAGTTTTATTTAGTTAACCTGTATTACTCTTAGTTAACAGCTTCATTAAAGTTTGGCTAAAAATTAGGCATGGGGGCTTGTAAAAAGGCTTAAAACTATATTTAATAAGCAATGCATCCATGTAGCAAAACTTGACTCAAGAAATTACCTTTGGGACTCTGAAGCCTGTTTTGTATTCTTGCCCTCTGTGCCCCTGTCACTTTGCCCACTGTGTGCCCCTCCTGCCAAGGACTCTGCAGTGTACTTTGCTTTCAGGAACCTAGTTCAAGAGGGCTATGAATGGCAGTGACAGTTCCATGGGAACTGGGGCAGGTCTGAGTCCCCTTCTTAGACTTGATGTCCCTTCTCACCAGCTTCATGGCCCAGTCACCCACTTGAGCACCTCATAGGGTGATGAAGCTGTTTGTTTACAGTTAAGAGCTCCCACCTGTCATTCTCATTTGTCAACAGGCACAGACACCTCTACTTCCTGCATCCCTACTTCCATCTGAGACATCTTTTTGGGTGTCAGAGTACCCCCTTTCTTTAGGCTTTAAGTGACTACTACCTAAAATTCTAGGCAGAATGGTTTCCCTCCTCCCAGGGTCTTCATGGTGTTGGGTTCTCAAGGCCAGCTAAGCAACCTTTGACTAGGGTCAAGGGCACAGAGTCCTAGAATGATAACTTCATTTCTAAATTAATCATAATATTCTGCCTGCCACAGGCCTCATCTGAGCCCTTAGAGTGGCCAGTCTCCTGCTATATAGATCAGAGGAAGCTCTGGAGAACACCATTCAGCTTTGACCCTGTTCGTCCTGCCTGTGTAGGACAGTTAGCCTAGATGAAACTGTTTAAGTTGATCTTCCTGACTATTTCACCTTTTACTTGGAGAGAGTGGATAAGAGAAGCTCTTTGATTATTTATCTCAAGGATTATTAAGATCCTTGTCAAAAAAAAAAAAAGCATATATCTTCAAGGAGCATACTTTCAGAGACATTTTGTGAGAGAGCAAGGGTGCTTTCAAGCTGCCTGGACAGAGAGGTCATTACATGCTCTAGGTCAGTCTTTCCCCAGGAGTCCCCTGTCTTGAACCTGGCACATTAGCCACTAGGAACACTCCACTTTAAAAGGGATGAATACTGATGAATACTGTATGTCCTTTTATCATTTTAAACCGGACTATATTAATTGCTCCTCCCATGGCCCCCATCAGGTATGGTTAAAAAAACAAATGTGATACAAAGTGAACTTCCTGTTCTCAGTCTGAAGGGCATGGGGAAGAAGGTGGTGGCTTGGAAGCTACTATTTTCCCGAGAAGCTAGGTATGTGCTTGACTGAATTATGAGTGGTGGCAGAGAGCTGGTACCAGCTCTGCCTCCTAGAGCCCCAGGATCTCCCTTTCTTCTCAGTGGTCCACATCTGGATCCTTAACAAGGTCACAGGAAAGTGCTTCAAGGGCCAGGGTAAAGTAAGTGAGTTTATTAAGTATTTAGCTAGGGACATAGGAAAAGGATGCTGTGCACTCAGTACACAGGGTGGCTTTTAAGAACGTCACAGTTGGCTACATACAAGGTTTTATGACTGAGCCAGTATACATTGCTCAAAGGTTGTAACTGACCAGGTTTAAAGAGTGAGAAAAGCTTAAAATTTAAGTAAAGTTTCAAAACAAATAAAAATACATGGGTTAGGTTTACTTACTCCTCTGACATTGAATATTTCCCATTTGTAGATAAAATAGTGAGGATTTTTATGAAGTACATTGTTTAGATTTAGGAGTGAGAAAGATGTACATTAAAATGATAAAACTCACAAAGTTTCAGATATTCTGGCCCCAAGTGGACCTCATTCATTAGTTTTTAACATCTTATTTGAGATATCTTTAGAAAAAACATGATTATTTCTCTGGGAGATTTTGGCTTTGTTAGTTGTATTGAGCTTTTTTGACCCTCAATCAGTATAAAAGGCAGATTAGATTTCAGAGTGAGGAGCTTCTGCCTCTCCTCACCCCTTAATTTTCCTGTATTTCTAGCCTACCACAGAGTTGCTGTTGGCACTCTGTGAGGGAAACCTGGAATGTGGCTTTAAGGAAACAGGGTAGCTTTGTCAGGTCTTTGTGACTGGAGGGGTCTAGTGGTGTCTTCCAATTTAACCTATGTCCTAAAGGTCAGCTCTGAGGGTAACTGTCAGCAGTGCTGGTTCTCAAGCTTGCTTGTACCTAAGAGTCTGGAGAGCTTACAGGAACAGAATTATACTAGATCCTGTCTGAGAGCTACTGTGCCCTCTGTGGGAAGAGGCCCCTGATCCACAGACTCTCGACCCTCTACCCCTACCCTACCCTAGAGATTCTTAAGAAACCCTGTTCCCACTGAGAGCAGGCTTCCTCCAAGGTGGAACACAGTGGAAGGTGATCCTACCTACTTGTATTAACTCATTAAAGAAGCTCCTGCCAGGTCATTATTTATTTCTACATTGATGCCAAAGTTTTGGCTTTTTGAGCAAGCAGTTAACTAGTGCTAGGGTATTTCTGCTATTAGTATGACCAGTAAACTAAAAACAAGACCAAACATTAAACTCTGAAAAACCACAAAAAATTCACTGTTGGGCAAAAGATAGTCAGAGATGACAGTGTGTACAATTTTGTTTCTGCTCTGGACTGTTCAAAATATTTTGTATAGACTTTTTTGAGACCTTTAAGACCATTGCTAAGAAAAGTGGGTATAAAAACCAGGACATAAGGGCTGCTGATAAGATGGCTCAAAGAGTTAAGGATACTTACTACTAATCCTGGTAAGTTTTGAATTTGACCCCCAAGACACCCATA